CAGAATCAAAAATAGTTAAAAAATTTGATTATGCAATCGATTGCTCTAAGAGTGCAATCGATTTCACTTTGAAAAACTTAGAAAAATTCTGTCTTAAAAGCTTGTGAGAGTGTAACAAGTCATGAGAAAGGTTTTAAACGATTTGAGCAATTAGGACTTAAATGCTTAAAGGACATTCTCATTATACCTTCAGATGAGAACATCTTCAAAGTTGTGTCTTTGTCCTGATGCTTGATGGTTGATCATCTTTGCCTTCTTGAGTGATTTGTCTTCATCAAAACAAATGTTGATTTCTGAGAATCTTGATTTCACACTTGTAAGTTGACACTCACTTATCTTATATTTTATTGTTTTGGTTAGTAGCATGAGTAACATGAGTAGGACCAATACGGTATTGTGAGGATGCGTGATAATAGTGATGAAGAACTATGTTCACATACATTTGGCAAATTAGTTGAATGCATGTAAAAAGGGTTAAGCGTATATACGTATCCTCATTATGGTGTTTTTTGTGAATCAATCATGAATTTGATATGGGTGTCATCTTTGGATACCTATTAGGTTCTAGACTCTAGACATAGATCTAGGCTTAGAATTTGCATAAGTATCAATTCATAATTATTTGTATTGTTGAGTTGCGTGAGACATCACCAATGAGGCAATACGGTTGTTCTCTTGACTTTGCGTTAGATGTAACCTCGATTGTGGGTGACACGTAAGGATATCAGACGAATGATTGATTTGTGTTTAACTTATTAGAAGAATGCATGTGTTATCAATTGATGAGATTCAATCCCAACAAGGTTCCGTTTATATTTCAATCTTTACTTTATATTTTCAGCTTTTATCTATTGTACCTTATATATTTTAACCAACTTTTTCATAATAAGCTTAGAAATATAGAGATCGTTGAAAGACATCCTTTCCCTCGCACTGATCCCTGTGGAGACGATAAATTCCAAAGGGAATCCTTCCAAATCTAAATTTTTGCTTCTTGCCGTTTTACTGTAGTTCGAACAATATGTTACACTGGGTCTGTAGGGGAGACCGAAAAATTGGGGTTTGACGTTGTAATCGGAAGGTTTGGCAATGGTTTGAATAGAAGGCAAGCATGTGTAAAATTGATATTTAAAAGAGGTGGCACGTATCAAGCAAAGATTGAGAAATTGAAATGAGATGACATTGGGTCAAGGAAATGTGAGTGCCCTTTTAAATTGCATGGGTATCGTATGACAAATGATACATGGAAATTTAATGTGATTTTCTGTATACGTAATCATGTCTTGCAAGACAAGCTATCTGATCATCCCATTATATGTTGCCTTGTGCTGGAGAATGGGGGACCTGTTTAGGACATGACATTAAACATGATGGCATCAAAAAACATACTCACATCTTTGAAAAGGAAAAGACCTATAAATGTTTCAAATATCAAGAAAATATACAATGATGTGCTTGAGACAACAAGACCGTAAGAGGACCAAGATCTGAGATGCAACAACTCTTAAAGCTTTTGGATGATGACCACTATGTTTTGAGGTATAGAGTTTGTGAAGATAAAGTCATCGTTCGAGATATATTTTAGATTCATTCTGATTTCGTAAAGTTCTTCAACATTTCTTCCGTCGTGCTCATAATTGGCTCAACATACAAAACAAACAAGTATATACTTTTACTCTTGAAAATTGTTGGTGTTACTTCTACGGATATGACTTATTCAGTCGGTTTTGCATTTTTGGAATCCAAAAAATATGACAATGTTACATGGGGGCTTTGGAAATGTGCAAGACTATGTTAAAGGACCGAGAAAACATCGCTCAAGCCATAATCACTAGTTGCGACACCGCACTGATGAATTCGGTTTTAACGGTATTTCTTAGACCGTCGGCATTACTTTGTAAGTATCACATAACAAAAAATGTAAGAAATCGAGTAAAACCTGCGGTTGGCATGAAACAAGTTAAACATGAAGATGAAAAACTTGTTAAATCTAGTGTGGTGGTGGAAAATATAATTGATGCATGTAATTCTATAATAAATTCTTCCACGAAAGAATTATATTTATTCTCCATTCTAAATTTCAGGAGTGTGTGTGATATATTAAGATTTGCTGAAATATGTTGAGGGCATTATTCAGGATCAGATAAAAGAGAATATTGTTAGTGCATGGATCGATCAGGTTGGAAACTTTGCCAATATAATAACTAACAGAGTTGAATTTGCACATGCTAGACTGAAGAACTGGTTGGAAAACAATAAAGGTGATTTTTGTCGAGATTGAGACGTTGTGGATCAAATTCTCAGAAAACAACAAAATAAGATACAAACATATTTTGGTCGAAGCATTATTGTGCTAGAACAACATTTCAAAGATGATATCATTTATTCTCAATTTGGTTGACAACATATCTCAATCGATTTTGAATTTTATTTTTCACGAAACCAAGTGAGTGGGTAAAATAGGTTCATATAGCTCAAAGTGTGGATGTACACTTAGAAAGAGTTACAGTCTTCCATATGCTTGATTAATTTTAAAGAAGCTGAAGCTTGAAAACCCAATTTTTATGGGCGAAGTTAGCACTCACTGAACAAGGCTCTTCTTTAATGATGATGGTGTGACGAAGGATGATAAATCAAACATATCTATCATGATCGAGTGAAAAGTGATCCAAGAGAGATTCATGAAAGTTGACGACATCATGAATATACATATCAAAAAGCAATCGGAGAATATTTCCTATCTATAAACAACATATTTGAAACCACTTTCAGAATCGATTAAAATAAAGGATGCACCTAAAAATGTAAAACTGACTTGAAGTGACAACTCCACGAGATGATCTCCTTCATACTTTGAACATGTTGACTCCCATTTTCCGGATTCTCCAACTCCTAAATTCCAAAAAAGTGTTTTCAAAAGTGCTCGCATAGAAAACCATCTTCCCTACCTCCGTTACCAAAAATTAAATTCATTGAAGATATACCGCTTTTTATGAACAAATACATTGAGCTAATTATAAATGTTAAAAGTGGCGACAACTGTGGTTTTTGAGTTGTTTCAGGTTTACTCCGTAAAGGAGAGGAGGACCATCAATTTTTTTGTCGTCATCTTGTATAAGAGATGACCACGCATAGGGAATCAAACACAAAGCTTTTTAAAAACAAAGCAAATTACGATACAATTCTCAATGCTTTTGTGTCTTACTGGTCCGACTCTGTTTGGCATATTGATGCGCTTCCCTGAAATGAGACATTTTATAGTAAATGCTTTTGATAAGGTGTGCATTTATTTAACATGATATGGTTTTTCAAAAAACATTTTTTTTTATTTCGGAGTAAGTCACCTCAAAATTCATCCGAACACATTATGTGTATCAGTTGGCTATCACAAAAATATTTTGTTCAGGCTTATTTGAAATTGGGATGTCATATACAAAAGACATCACCGGAATGGACGACACATTTCACACAATATGTTGAAACATGGCCGAATCACTTTCTTGAAAGGATAGAATAGCTCACCAGGTTGAGCGGCATTGAATGAGAATCAAATAAGAAAAGGTCAAAGAATGAGCCACCAATAGATTTAGGTAGTGACATATATTTTGATGCGTTTTAGTTGTAATCTAATAATATAACACGTTTTTTTTGTAAGTAACACATTGCATAATGTTATAAAATTGGGTGGTATTTTTTGGACAAATTTTGTTTTTAAAATCCTGCTCTGCATTATCAATTGGTTATGTTCCACATAATTTTTAAGAGGTTTCAGAGATGTATCTCTGAACACACCTTCTAATTATTAAAAAAATAAAACATAGGATCATCTGGATATGCATATCCAAATAAACTCTTAATTTTTGAAGAAAAAAAAAGTGGATCCGGATATGTATCTCCGAAGTCTTGCATGCAAATATGATTACGTTTGTAAGGTCCTTATTGCACTACAACTTCTATAAATAGGGTCTCTCATTTCATTTTCTTTACACAAACCATAATAAACCACATATTCTCATCTTGTAGTTGTGTATTTAAATAATGGAAAACCCTCGTTTCAATTTTAGATCTGCGAGGACATACTTCTCGTCGATTTGAAAACCAAATTGAATATTCTTCTATGATATCGAAAAAATCAGAGAGTTGTCAAACTCAAGTATCATTCACCCTCATTAGACAACGAAGAGAAGATATAATTCATCATGCTTGAAATGAAGATAAATGATTTGAAGATTATGTGGAGTATATGATATTATAAGAATGTTATAATGTCCTGAACCACTTGTTTTTAATGGCATGTATTGTTAAATTTATGTAAAGTTTATCCATACAATGTTTTTTTGACAATAATTTATGTTGGTTTTCCATTCTACTATTGTTTCTGTTTTGAACTAACAAAGCACGACTGAAGATGCATCTCCGAAAAGTTTACACAAATTAATGAATTAAGAAGAATTACGGAAATGCATCTCCAAATAAATCTTTCGTGCATACGGAGATACATCTCCAAATCAAATTTTAACAAAATTAAGAGTTTCTCACCATTTTCATTTTAGTTGTGTGAAAAAGATGCGTTCGAAGATGTTTCTCCGAATACCTGAGACATTTTAATCAAACATCCCTAGGTAACATCCCTAGGTTACGGAATCAAAACATGCTAGCTGAAACAATTGAACATTTTATAACATACACCTTTATCCTTAACTAGGAAAGTTGAAAACAAACATGAAAAGAATACAAAAACCACCCAACTCATAATATGAAAGATACAAGTAAAGAATATCCCCAAAACAACTTAAACTACACTCACCAATTTCTATCCTTTTCTTTTCAGTTTACACTACAGGAATTAAAATAGAACAAAAATGATAAATGACTTACATTGCCATCCCAGAACAGAAAAAGGATACTTTATAACATGTAAACTTCAACAACAAAAATTGTGAACCAAAAGGAAATTACAATAATGGCATTATTCATATGATTGATACCAATGAATCAAATCAAGCCTTTTGCTTCCCTCTTTTGACTTTCTCCAACTCTTCTTCGGCGTCTTTTAACTGACCCTGTAACGCTGATACTCTACGTTCTAATCGCTCTACTTGATCAGTACTGCATAACGGTTTATACGGTAACGTGAAATGTCTTGAAAATGATCTCAGAGCTTCAACACCAGTAACCTGTCAATTTGTGATTCTTATCAGAGGCTGATACAAACATAATAGCTTCTCATGCGGCGTGTTAGTGTCGTGTCGTGTTGATACACGCACCTTCAATCTAAAATGTTGGTGTTAAGGAGATTGGGAACACGACAACTTACCTCTTCCGGAAGAAGTGGAAGCTTAGTAATATTAAAGTCATCATACAACATGTAAAACTGGTCCAAGTACTTCTGTTGCATTTTCATTCTTGCTTTAAGTAACTTGGATTCAACATCTGCAGGAAAAAAACATATTAGTCGGCAGGCACTATTTAAGAGAAAATGCAAAGAAACGTATGTCGCGGATATAATGAGCACATTACCTTCATCATCAAAGATTACTTGATTAATGATGATGTTGTGTGTGTCAATCTCAAACTTTGTGAGTTCTTGAACCAGTCTTTCAGTTTCATAAAGCGAGAGAAATTCGGGAATGCAAACACAGACAAAGGTTGTCATGTCCTGTTAATAAAGAAAAACAAAAATGATTATGAAGTCATTTTGGTTTATGTATCTATAAATCTATGGTGTGAGTATATGAAGAAAAAAACATAAAACTATAGTTTATTTGTTGGCATATGAATACAAGCCACAATTCATTGCCGAATAAACATATTATAATTTCCAAAACCTATGGAGTACGGGCGCCGGAAACACGACACTGACACGTTGACACCGGTAATAATTTGAAATAATGAATAAATTAAACATACTCACAAATGTCAATGTCGGTTTCAGAGACTGACAGTGACAAGGACACACCTTTTTTCAGAAGTGTCAGTGCTACAGAGTCCAGAACGATACAAAACAGAAATTAGATGAAAATCTTACTGGATTTTTGAATTGCCTATTAACTTGTTCGATTACATCCTTCATTCCTTCAAGCTTTCCGAGAATTGCATCTTCACCAAAATCATCACCCATGCCAAACATGCGAGTCATCTGTGATGGAAGTTAAGAAAAAGTTGCCAATTACTAAATACTGAAACAGAACTTAATCAACTTCAAACCATTATAGAGAATATCATGTGATGCATGAAGTCCCGGCTTTAAATCCATACCTGACTAAACAAACCACCAAATTTATTTTTCAAAGACATCATCTTTGCAAGACCCTTCTCTAAAACCGACGGGAATTGCAACAGTCTAAGTGTATGACCAGTTGGAGCAGTGTCAAATACAATGACAGAATAATCCATTGTCTGCACCAATCTGAATAAAATGACATTATAGATCAAAACATGCTGAAGAGTATAAAAATTAAGTTGAAAGGGACATTTGAATATCCAAATGGAAGCATGACACAGTCACATACTTGGTTAATCACTCTGTTGTCCATAGTATGCTATAGCGGAATAGCATAGCGGTGGTAGGGTTCGGCGTAACACTATTAGTCCGCGAGCCGCTGTCAACAATAGCGGGTGTGGCCGCTACTTGCAGCCCCAAATCACTATCGCAGTCCCTATTGCGTCCGCTCTTAGAATTTTGGGGGATAAATTCCTCAAAAAAATTGTTAAACAGTTGTCTTTTTTAAGGGTATAAATTTCAATCTGAACTCTTTGAAGAGTAATGTTATGATGCTGCTCACATATAATCACCATGCTCTTCCTACTTTTAGTTCCATTCTGTTTTATTCTTCTTCTCTGCTTAAGTTTTATGACTCTATAATTAGGTTCTTTAACTATTAAGTATGACGGGCTCTTCAGTTTTGTGTATTAGTCTATTTTTAACTTTTAAGCATTCATGTTTTACTTTGTACAAAGGTTATTAGTCTTTGTAATGGCGGTTATCCAACTATCCTCTATACGGCTATCGCATTATAGGGAGTTGGTGCTACGCAACGGTATTCGAGATTAACAACATAGGTTAATCGTAGCCAAGCGTGTTTTGCAAATCAATAATCAAAAAATGTTTGAATAAAAAACAAAATCCGCATAGCTATAAATGATAGAAGTCATTCCTCCAACTTCAGATTTTAAGATTACCATAACCGTATTCATTCATAAATAATCTTCTACTTAGATATAAGTGATGGAATTTCCGCCTTCAATGCAGTCCGCGCCTAGTCGCCTGAATTGAGGCATTTGGCTTGCCATCATTGCAGCCTCCAACACCTTCATTGTGTTGGATTTGAGGGGGTGGATTTAATTTCATACTATTGTTTAGAGACATGACATGTGTTGTGTGTATAAGTGGGAACAATCTTCACGTTACAAGCCGGTTTTGTAAGGATGAGTTAGACCAATCTCTAATTATAGGCAGCGGGGACACCCTTTTCTTTTATAATATAATAGACAACATTTTAAGTTACATGTTTGCTATGACCAGTCAGATCCACCATCAAGTATGAAGATGTTCTAAAGTATATAAAAGGTGGGAAAATCAAGGCAAGAGTAGCACGAAGCAATAGGGAGAACTCGCCATTTGGTACAGGACTTTAAAAGGATTTCTCAAACACTTATGATAGAAAATTCTTTACTACGCAATTTTGTGCGAGATTTTAATTACTATTCCCAGCATCCTAGTTTGCCATGAGAAATCAATTTTTTATGACATGTGAGAAACTATTTGCCACCCCACAATTGCAAACCAATATTATATTTATGGTCACCACAAAACCATCAGCAAGTCACTCGACTTGGAGCAAAAACTACAAAATTGATACTCATCAAATGCTATTTTGTTTTCACTTAGAAAATCATGAGTGAAACCTCAAGATTAGTCTAAAGACTCCATATAATAGGGAGTAAACATTGATTAATAGTTTTTTTTTTGTTATTTGAAAGATTATCTTCACGGGTTTACTATGTAACTCAAATCACTAAGATTTCCCAAAAGCTAAACACATTTATCTCCAAGTTAAATCAATCTATTCTATCATAAACAACTCGTTCACGTAACTCAAACAATTCCAGTGGAGCCGCACACATTGAGAGGCTGAAGATCAAGGAATAAAACCATGCTCAATCAGCCTAATCACAGAAAACTAATTACGGTCTAAAGAGGATACCGTCTCACTGGGGTGCCAAAGGCCCTAATTACAGCCGGATCCACACAAAAAACAATTTCAACAATGAGATCAAAAAACATGTTCAATAAGATAACAAGTAACAGTATCCTTACTTCAACATCTCAGCAAAGCTCATAGCCTCATCAATTCCAGGAATTGCACCAGCAAGCTCAGAGAACAAACTATCCATCCCATCAGAACCACCCATATCATCATGCTCAACCGCAGGATCCACTTCCTACCAAAGTAATCATCACAAAACAAAACCAACCCAAATCAAAAGGGGTTCAATTTTTCTCACTTTTGCAATACAAAAAAAAAAATTGAAAATTGACAAAAGGGGCATATTAAGATTCATAACATAAAATAAAAAATTTACCACTTTAAAACACAAAATCAAAAATTGACAAAAGGGTTATATTGAGATTCATAAAAAACGCAAAGGGCTTGTTTGTATGTATAAGAGTGAACAAACCATTGCATATAGATTGGAGAAACCATTAACCAAAGTAGGGGTTTTTGTGAAGCGCTGTTGAAAAGCATCGCTGAGATTGTGAGCAGGGTCGGTTGAGATGATGAGAACAGAAGAGCGAACAGAAGCGAGAAGAATAGAGAGGATAGAACTGCATGTGGTTTTACCAACACCACCTTTGCCACCAACGAAAACCCACTTGAGAGATTCTTGTTCTAGAACGTTTTGTAACGTTCCTTGTGGTTGATCTTCCATGGCTCTCGCTGTACTTTGATGAATCAATCAAATAATCAAAGTACAACAACACAACACACAAGACAATTTTTTGGTAGTTTTTGGATTTTCAACAAAATCAAACATGTAAATGTGTTTTCAGATTTTGGAGAGTTAGAATCGGAATCGGGATTGTTATGTTATCAAGTACAACCATTGTTTACCTTCAAATTTGTTAATAATATTTTAGGTTAAATATATTTTTATTTTCTATAAAATTAAATAAATAAATAAATAAAGCATCAAAAAAGCTTATTTAGTTTTAATCCTTATTTTAAATTTATTTTAGTATTTAACAAGAGTGGTATTTAAATAAATAAATAAATGGATTTAATTGGTATATATTGAGAGTGTAAAATTATTTTATACTGTCAACTAATTATCCTCATGTATTCTGTTACATCAGACTGTAAATTTTAAATTAATAATATGACACGACAGATTGATAAATTTCTATAGGATAATAGTGTAAAATTATTTTACATTGTTCGTGCATATCAATTAAACTCTAAATAAATTGAACAAAAATCCATAAAATAGCTAGATAATACACACAAAAGTACAATCCGGTGAATCCAATGCGAAACCCAAAAACAACTTTTAAAAGAAAAGTGTGTAAGAAACCGCAAGCATTTTAAACGAATTAGAGACGAGCTTGAAAGATCAAACTCATCTTATGAAAAATGGTTAACGTTTCGAACGCCAACACTAACAAAAACATGTACCAACAACTTTTGTGAAATAAGTCACAAGCTTAACAACTCTTTCAAACCTACTCAAACCAGATTGCGACAAGCAAGTTCAAAGACATCCTAACGGACAGGAAAAAGAACATCACAACTGCGATGGGGCTTTAACCACCACAGAAACACCAGTGTGGTGTCCAAACTCAAACACCTTGAAAACTACAGTTATCATCATATTTAGAAAAACCAAAGATCAAAGTCAAGAATCCACCACTAACACTAGCAAACCGTAGCTTGAGAACATCAACCATCAGGTTCAAAACGAATCCACCAAAAATAAAATCAACCTCTACCACTGTAACAACCAATAAAATCTTCGAAACAACCATCAGGCCAAATGCCAGTGAACCACGACACCTATTAAAAAATAAGCAAAAGCCACGTAGTAAATTGGAACTAGAGATCAACGTATATTGTCCTAAAACATTGAGCAGAGATTGTTGCATAGTGTTTCGAAAAGAACATATCTGATGGAAGATAAAAAAAATAATTGGTGCGTGTCACCAAAAACAGAATGACGAAAACATCAGCGAAAAAGAGCGGTTGCAATGAAGATGAATGGAGGTAAAATGTCAATAGACCAAACTGGTGGTGCGGAGGAAGAACTACATCACACCATGATCTGCGGTCACGCGCGGATCAAAACCGAGTGAATTGAAAGATGTAGTAAAAGCGACGGTAACTCAGATATTGATTCACAAGGATTCTTATTTAAAATAGCCAATTGAGACGAATTGGGGGGGTTGTTTGATTAAAAATTCGATTAATAAAAAAAAGGCAAAAATAATTGGTTTTGAAATAAGTAATTAAAAACATGTAAATCCACCAGTTCGACTCTCAACTTATCATCGGTTATTACAAATCAATATTTTCAAAGGGTTTCGATTCCTATTCGATAGCAATATTGACGAACAAGCGTCGACAACACCGCACGACTTTTATTCCTAATTATTGAATTAAGCAGACGGTTAAAGATGACCCAAATTAACGAAAAAGCTATGTTAATCCGCGATTGAGTTAAGGAATATTGATCGACCGAATTAAATCCAATTTATCTTATAATAACGAATTAAGCAAATGAAATTATGAAACAATTTGGAACGGGATTAAATAAAATAAATCGCAATTGAAATTGAAATAAACCTCAAAGAATTACGGGGTTTGAAACCGGCGGATTTTCCCTTAGGATTAGTTCGCCATAAAAACAATGAAAAGCAAGAAAGAAATTCGGAAAAATAAACTAGGTTCATGTTTTGCATCCAGCAGCAACCTTAAATAGAATAAGGTTTGCTTTACACTCTCAACTAGGCTAGAAACCTGAACTAGGCCCGCAAGGAAAAAAACTACATTATCACAAGTCAGAAACTTCAACGAATTATTCGAGACTCAAGCAATCTGAATCAGCTCCTTCATTCAACATGAAAGTTGTAGATCTTCTTCTTAGCTTTCCAACGACTGATAGAACGCCTCGATCCGATTCATGTAGCTCTAGCTATGAATTTTTTTATTAAAAGCTGCTAATGTTGAAAAATAACAAACGAAAATTAAATAAGGCTTAAAATAAAATAAATTGTAAAAACATCATAAAATTGAAAATTAAACAAACTAAACTATAGAAATGTCTAAGTTTAAACATAGAGGAAGGTGCATTAAAATGCACTGATCACACCACCAAAAGTTTGAGGTTACATGGTGGCTAAAAATTTAGATTTAGGGACGAAAAGGGTGAATAGTGATGACTAGGTTAAAAAAGCGAGGAGAGAGAACAGAGCTTGAAAGGTATAAAGTCCAATGATAATAATTTTATTGGTGTTAAGTTAGCATAAATTAAAGGATAAATAGTAATTTTATTGTTTGACGGTATAATCTTTGTAGTTCTTGAATATATGAAAATTACAAAAAAAATGGAATATTTTGTTTGTTTGTAATTTCAATAACTATATTGAATAACAAAAAAATTAAATTTTGAGTATCAAATTGAGTAATTTAGCTAGAGCATCTCTCTCCCCTTCGGATCTAGCCAATCCATGGGAGTTAGGTGGTGGAGCCCAAAGACGTCCACTTCGATCTGAGCCAAGCCTCGGGGGCAGGGACGGGGATCTTACCCTTAGCTAAGGAATGGTCCTCTGTGACGTGGAGCGTAGTACAAAGTTACGACCATATCACACCAGTCCCAAGCCTCACTAAATACAACACACAAAAATGGTAGCTAACATAATCCATTACGCCAAGCTGCAAATCACAAAGCAGGAAAACTCGAAGAAAATGTTTGTCACTTCATTGAAATTAAATACTCATCTTTTCATAAAGGCATGCAACATTTCGCAACTGGCATTGAGCAAACTTAAGGTTACCATGATGAACACCAATGATGCCATCAGGACAAACAAACTTAACATTGTAGGGATAATTAGGGATGACAAAAAAAATCGTACCCACAAATATCCGCAGATGAAATCTGTCACGGATATGAGGATAGATTAATGGATATCCACGGATAAAATAAATGGATATTTAAATATCTGTTTGTTAATGGATATGAATATGGGTTTAATAATATTCGTACTCGCGGATATCCGTATCTGTTAATAAATTATAAAAATCATTTAAATATCATTAGTTTATTATACCTTATCTTTTCATCTTCTAAAAAAATTACTCTCTCTCTCTCTCTCTCTCTCTCTCTCTCTATATATATATATATATATATATATATATATATATATATATATATATATATATATATATATATATATATATATATATATATATATATATATATATATATATATATATATATATATATATATATATATATATATATATATATTAATTTTCTTTGAAGAAAACCTTTCACATTTCATTCAAATTCTATTAGGCATTTCATATTTAAACTCTTCAATACTTCATACCTCACTTCAACAATTTCACAGTCAAACTAACGTGTCGTCATTCCTCTCTTGAACTAGTGTCTTTCTTCCTACTCCTCTGCCATCCGCTCTTTCATCATAACTCACAATCACAATATCTTTTATTTGTTTGGTTAAAAATGAAATGTATGGATAGTATGTTTGGATCTAATTATGTTTTGGTGAATAAGAAGAAAATCAATGTGATATAATTTTATTGTTAAATTAAAAGTGAATTGTATGAATGTTATGTGGTAATAACTTTTTGTGTCTTTAAAAGAAATTAAAAAAAAATTATAAAAAAAATATTATCCATGGATATTTGTAAATATCCACAGATACTGTAAAACCCGCAGATTACCCGCTTAACAGATATGGAGCGGATATGGATATCATATTTATCCAACAGGGCGGATACGGATATCATAATATCCGTCCCCATGGATATCTATTTACATCTCTAAGGATAACAAGCAAGCCATGGCATTACAATAATTCTCAAACAACTAGAGGCGAAACATAACAATAATAATAAAATTGAGCCAAGTGCAAGGCTCAAAGCTAAACAATGCACAAATTATTGAGGTAAAAGTATTTTTATAGATATTGATAGTCATTACCCAAGGTACAATGCCTAGAAAATGTTTTAGGAAACAAAAATAGTACGGGGGAAAGAGAAATCAAATCGAAGTTGAAGACTCTAAGATTTGAGCAAATTTTGGTAAAACATGATGTTGCACAAGATGTTCCAACAAGAAAAATCTGTAAAAAACAACATGTCAGACAAGATGTCCTAGCATTGTGGACTCGACATTTTGGTATGATGCAGCTGGTCTTTTGCAGATTTGTTCCAAGATTTAAGGTGCAATCAGAACATGGATCAAGGAAAGATTAGACAGAGACTTCGAAGCCACAGAATGCTGAAGGCTATAAAAGGAAGACCAAGACCTGGGGCATAGTAAGAGAGTAGACCTTCTAATGAATGCTTGTAATTTAATTAGAAGGGTTTAAGGTTTTGAGAGTCGTGTACTTTCTTGTGTTGTAAGTTACTCTTTGTATCATTTGATACATTATGGTAGACATAGTTTTACATATTCAGAAACCTGTAGGTAATGAATTGCATATTGTTCTTGGATGAAGCTATTAAGAAAATTCAAGAATTATTGTTAGTCAAGAGTATTGACTAAATATTGTATTGAGAGGGGTGTTTTTTCAATTGAACAATTTGATACAATCACTAGAGGTTGTGACTGTTAGATATCACTGAGGTGATTTAGGAATTGAGATGGGTTTCTATTGTCTAGATGGTGATTTCTGGATAGAATTT